TTGTACAGTGTCCCAACTTTTTTGGAATCGGGTTTGTATGTTGTAAATGACATGTATAAAATAATATTGTCCAATAGATGTCTTCATGTGATTAAGTGCCAAAATTATGACTTTTGTATTGCTAAATCTTCTAGAATTGCATTCAGTTAATGTTAGATGTTAGAGTGCAAACGTGACAACATTATACCCCTGGGCAATGAGCAGGGGAACATAACCGGTCTAACAGCCCTTCATAAGAGGAGCCAAAAGACAAACAAACAAATAATAGACAAACAAAAAAGTGCACTGTAGAGACATCACAATTGTCTCATTCTGTTATGGGTAAAATAAAGATAAGAAATTACGAGCACATTACCTGGTGAAACTAATGCTCATAAACTGTGAACAATGAATTTATAACATTAAGGCATACAAAGGGAAATGTGTTACGTAAAGGGAACTGCACATAATCACAATAATGGCATTTAAATGACAAATGTGGATAATTAAACATGTAATGTCACACGGGTATCAGGAAATAAGTGCCAATATCAATGTGGTGTAGTTCAACTCAAACTTCTGTGGTGTATTTACTTATGGACAAAATATGAGTGATGTCTGATTGTCTGTCTTGGGCAGGACCCAAAATGTATGTAGTTATGGATGCTGATTAGGTTTTATAGAGATAATGTTGTAAAATGTACATTTAAATCAAGTTCCTCAAGAATGTGAAGGGAAGCAACTGTCTTCTGGTCAGAGCCTACGATGGGTTGAATTATGTATAATGTATTCTTTGGAGAAAAAACAATGTTTTAGTGGATGTTCAGTATTCACATATAATACTTCATTGTATTTTTATGTTTTGTTATTATTTCTTTATTTAAATGGAATACATCAAAAGGCCTGTATAAATTGTAAATTACATTGCAAAGTCTAGTTATAAGGTAAAAAATTTAATTTTTAATTTTAAAATAAATTTTTATAAGGTGCAGGAATGAGAATTATTCTTTCTCAAAGGTGATATTAAGGCACTAAATGTTAAGCGTAAAATGCTTTGTATATTGCAAATAGAGATTATACTTTGTTTGATATTCTGTAAATTCTCTGGAACGTGCATGGATGTTTTGGACTAACATGTTTTTTGTTACTTCAGTATCAGTAAACGTAAGTACACACTAATGAGGCATGTACAGGAAGTTGTATCAGGCTTTAAATCTTTACACAGTAAAGGCTAACAGAAGGAACCCCTTACAAGACTACAATGTGTGGTGAAGATGAGGGTTGGAATGCTGCTCTCACAGGTTTTGTGGGGGGGGG